AGTCCAAATGCTATAGTCTCTTTCAAGTATTTTTTTTTTCGGTGATATAACAGTCTGAATCTCCTGTTCATACAAATTCTATCCACGTCTACCCATATAACATCGCAGTCACACATGGAGAACATCTCCTCCTCTTACATAGTATTATATAAGGGGAGATGTGGTAGACAGAGTTCTCGTGGACAAGAGTTCCGGAGTGGGTAGAACATACAAGTGAGTTTGAGCTTAAGTGCACTTGATGGATGTGTTAGGGGTTGTTTAGCCAATAATAACACCCCACGTCAGCCATCAATTGGTTGTGGAGAGTTATTATTGATGAAACAGCCCCCCTAACAGTAACACAGTCATAAGGTCCAGCTGCATCTGATTCTTTAATTACTTAACTAATTACAAAGTAGAAGTAGACACAGAACATGAACCACTTGGTCCACGCCCCAAAACATGATAAATTTGTGGACCATGGAAGCATGTGAATGCTCATGGTACATGTCCTCCCGTTGAATGAATTGGAACTTGGAAGAGAACATTGTGTATCCAATTTCTGGGAAACAGCCTCCTCTAAAATATTCTTATATGGACTAGGATAAACAATTGCCTTCGCAATTACTGTGAGGACAGTAATTTCTATACTACCAGAAAGACATGACACCTGAAGGGCTTTAACCAATCAAACCCCTGTGAATTTTCATAAAAACTATCCAACTGATAAAAACCCCTATCAATCTTTATAATTTTATTTATTATTCAATTTAAATGTTATTCAAATAATAAAAATTTAATATTAAAAAATAAAATATTATTTAAATATCCCAATAATTAAGCATCTTAAATAACAAATCATTAAAAATAACTACATAATTATATAAAAACAATATTTAATATTATGTAATAACATTCAAATAATGAAAATTTTAAATATTTTAAACAAATAACGAAGTGCTTAACATGACTAAATTTTTAAGTTAAAATAACGAAATTATGTAATAAATGTAAAGAAATTATTAAAAGTAGAAAAATAATTATAATAGGTTTCATAGTATTCGTATTAATAATAATTTATAATTTTACAAAATTAAATTAAATAAATAATTAATATTTCAAAATTTTAAATAACAAAATAATATTGTAAAAAATTAATTTCACTTATATCAATTAATAATTATAGAAAAAATCTTTCAAAAAAATAATATTCATTGGTAATAATTTTACAATAATAGTGTACATTCATTACTTATTTATATATATACTAAAATTAATATTTATTTTACTTTCAGTATTTATTTATTGTATTTTTTGATAAATATGTTTTCAATAAATATTTATAAATCTATTGTTGGTTTATTATTTAAGAGTAAATTGTCAATAATTATTGGACATTAAACAACTACTATTTAAATTTTGAAATTTAATTTATCGTATTTATTGTATTTTTGTTATAAATTTATTTTTACTATGTATTTTTATAATTTATTGATTAATATTTTTTAGAGATCAAACTATTATTTGAGATTACACTATTTATTGACTAATTTAATATATTTTTAATATTTGTTGTATTTTTATAATTATTGTATTTTTATTAGATATCTATTGTATTTTCATTATAAATTTATTTTCAATAATTGTGTATTTTTGCTATAAATTTTCAACAATTATTGGAGATTAAACTATTGTTATTTATTAGAGATTAGATTATTAATTTAGCTGAAATTAGGAGTGTTCAAGGATTGGTTTAGTTTAAATGCAACTTGTTTTGCTAAACAAATCAACTTGGTTAGATCAAGAGTTTGTTACCCAAAACCAATTGACCATTAGTGAAAAGTAGCCAACTCGGGTTGTATCAGTTTGGGTCAATTTTCAATTTGGTTTGTTTGTTCAAAAGTTTTAAACTTAAAAATTAAAATTAAATTTAATAAATTACAATGGTATTATTAAAAAATACATTAAAAAGATAAATTTATAATATAAATTATTTTTGACTAAGAAATATGGGAATTTTCCCACTTTCCTGTATTAAAAAAAGTATATTTAAAATATAAAATATTAGTATATATCTATAGTCAGGGAAGTTCAGTTTTGGTCGTTTTACAAATGGACAAATCAAAACTAACCTAATTTGGTAGAGTTGGAAAATTGTTAAACAAAAGCCAATTGGAAATACTAGAAAACTGACCAACTCGAATCGAGTTCAATCGGATTGATTATTAAAAAGTTAAAATATAAAACAATTATATACTCCTATGTATTTCTATTGTTTAACTTTCGCTTAACAAAACCCATAAACCCATGCATTGCACGGGTCCCCGCTAATGTATGTATATACTAAAACACAATAGTCTAGAAATTTTCTCATTTCTTTGAATTTTTTTATTTTTTATTATATGTTATTTTTTAGAAAACCAATGAGATGCTCTCCTTCCCTATAAAAGATTACCGATAATCAATCAATCAATCTCTCTCTCTCTCTCTCTCTCTCCCTTCTACACATTCTCAATAACCTAAATAATATCTTCTCCTAAAATTTTTCTTAAACTACCTCCCCCACTATCCCCCACTTTCTTATAAATTATCTCTAATTCCTATTTATCTCTTGAATTATCTCTAATTCCTATTTATCTCTTTAAATTATCTCCAATTCCTATTTATCCTCCCCCCTACTTTTTATCTATAACCATCTAAGCAATGTTTGAACTATAAAAAATTAAAAATTACTTCCAATTCCTATCTCTTAACATAGTATTAATATTTTTTTTTTAATTTTACAAAGTTCATCACAAAATTATGTACTAATAATATAAATTATGATTTTCCAGATTATTCAAACAATAAAATTTAAAATTAAAAATAAAACATTATTTAAAATATTTCAGTAACTAAATATCTTAAATAAAAAAATATTAAAAATAACTAAATATTTAATGTTATGTAATAACTTTAAAATTAAGAAAATTGAAATAACAAAAAATTGTAAATATTTTAAATAATGTGATATGTAACATAACTAGATTTTAAATAGTTAAAATAAAAAAATTATGTAATAATAGTATAAATTATATTTTTACAGATAATTAAATTCAATAAATAATTAATATTTTAAAATTTAAATAATGATATTATTTAAATAACTAAATAATAGTGTAAGTGACTAAATTAACTTATATCAATTAATAATTCTAGAAAATAACTTTCAAAAAGCTTAATATTTTTTAATAATAGTTTTAAAATCTTAATCTATATTTATTATATATTTATCTATACTAAAATTAATATTTATTTTATTTTCAGTAATTATTTATTGTTTTTTGTGATAAATACATTATCAATAATTATGGATAAATTTATTTTTGTTTTTTTATTTAGTATAAAATTTTCAATAACTATTGGAGATTAAACTATCATTTGAGATTAAAATATTTATTGACTTATTTAATATATTTTTTAGTATTTATCGTATTTTCATTATCATAATATTTTCAATTATTGTGTATTTATGCTATAAAATTTCAATAATTATTTATTAGAGAATAGACTATTAATTTAGCTAAAGTTAGAAGTGTTCATGGGTTTGTTCGATTCGATTGCAGGCTATTTGGCCAATCAAATCGGCATGGTCAAGTTGGGGAGTTGGTCACCCAAAACCAACTGACCATTAGTGAAAACCGACCAACTTGGGTTGTATCAGTTTGGGTCGATTTTTGGTTTGGTCGGTCGGTTCAAAAGATTTAAACTTAAAAAATTATTTAAATTTAAAATAATTATAGTGGCATTATTAAAAAAAATTGAGAAATTAAATTTATGATATAAAATATTTTAGACTAAGAAATATGGGAATTTTCCCACTTTCCCATATTAAAAAAATGATATTAAAAATATAGAATATTAACATATATCTATGGTAAGGTCATTTGATTTTGGTCAATTTAAAAATGGCCAAAGGGAAACTAATTAAACCTGATGGGCTTAGGAAATTGTTGAATTAAAAACCTATTGGAAATATTAGAAAACTGACCAACTTGGGTGGAATTGGTCGGGTTGGTCAATTTCATTAATTTGATGAACAACTTTAGCTGAAATTAATTTTTGTTAATTTTGTATTATAAAAAAATATTAAAAGTAGTATATAAAATATAAATAATTATTAATTAATTAAAATATTAAAAATATAAAACAATTGTATACTTCTATGTATTTCTATTATATTGTTTATGTTTTTCTTAACAAATAGAACAATCACAACACATGTCGTCTAATGGTACATTATACCAAAGCTGATGCATCATTTTGTTCACACCATTTGCGAAATGACGGATTAATTAATAAACATTCCAATTGACTCAATATGTGAGCCACCCTAATTTAGACAGTCAGTATCAGCTCCTTATTTTCCATGATAGACAGGGTCATATTGTTCTTCGGCAGCATATCTACATTAGAAATTTGGAGCTGCTTCAATTCCTAGGCCCATTTTCCAGGTCTCCATCACAGCAATAAACAACAAACAGCCAATAAAACACCTTTCTGAATTGAGTAGGCAGTAGCAATGAATCTATTTTGATAAGACACTAATTAAACAGTCGCAAATTGTTGTCTATTTAAAGACGGTGGGCTAGCTGTTTTTTCCACTACTTGTGATATGTCGTTCAGTTAGCATAGTTGGGCCTCTGATGTGCTACAACCAATAATACAATGAAAATGAATACTACTTCTGGATCCACACCATCTGTTTGTTAGTGTGTAAGTTGGTCCCGTCTTTAATCAATTTTGTCATGTTTACCAATTAAAATTATTGACATTTGAATGAATCTGAACATAATTTCTCTCCATACTTCATACAATCTCTGCAATATGTACATCGATCACTCTTCTGCCTTTCCCTATATATAGGGAAGAAAGCATACTTCTCTACCATCTCCTAGCTCTTCAGGCCTTCCGTAACTCCCCTTAGCTTCTTCCAAGACTTCAGCTTCAGCTTTGATTAATTTCTTCTTCCTTCAGAAAAAATGGGTATCCGCTTGCCTGAGATCGTTGTTTATGCCAAACAAGTCGTTCGAGGGCGATGGTCGACTCACCTTCTGATCAGTAGACACCAATCGTCCTTACCTCCGGTGACAACCACACAGCATGTCCCCAAGGGCCACTTCGCAGTTTATGTTGGAGATAATAACCAGACCAAGAGGTTCGTGGTTTCCATTTCTTACCTGAAGCACCCATTGTTTCAGGACTTGTTGAGCCAGGCTGAGGAAGAATTTGGGTTCGATAATCCAATGGGTCTTCTCACAATTCCATGCAACGAAGATGCTTTCATCAGTCTCATTACTCGCCTGACAGGAAACTGAGTGGAATAGATAGTAGGAGCAAATTGTAGTTAGAGATTACTGCCACAATTGAGCTAATCTCTCCATTTTGAAGTTTTTGAGTTCGACAGTCCTTGTAGATATTCCTTCAATTCTGCTTGAGGTTTTATAGAGAGAAGCATAGTTTTTTATAGATTTGTTCCTCTTTTTATTAAATTTGTATGGTTGAATATGCATCAGACCTCCATTTGTCTTATATATGATGGTGTAAAATGAAATTAATTTACAATCTCCCCAACGGCCGGGACTTCATTTTCATGGTAGGGATTGCAGGCGTATGCGTCCACCTTCCTTATATAATCAGTTAGAAAGTAGCATGAATTAGAATTTGGGAGTTGGGCACCAGTATTTGATTTTCGACTTAGAAAACATCTACTTAGCTTCAAATTACAATGGATTCATTTTAGATTAATGTCTCATAATCTGTGTAAGGAGATAATCTAAGGCCCTGCTTGCTTTTTGTTAAGTTATTTATCTGAGTAGCTGCCCATACTTTTTTATTTTCCAAGTAAATAATATAATGACCGCTTTGACCATAAAAATTTCATTATCAAAAGGGGAATTTTTGTCCCATCCAAGTATTAGCAACTTTCCCTTGGTGGGAAAGTTATTTACCCACCTAAGAGATGGGTATCAATACCTAGGAAAATAAACTTTCCCTGATCCCCACTTAAATCTGAAAAAAGAACATGGGTTTCTTGGTCAATTTGATTGTGAATCTCACTTACCAACTTTCCCCCTTATCAAAACACAAAAAGCAAATGCCCCCTAAATGATTCCTTATCTGGTGGAAGGTTTAAATTATCCTTTAATTTTTTTAATTGCCAAGATAATTTAATAGACATTTATTAAAATAGGATTAATAAAATAAAGTGAAACTTAAGATCTTTGATATGTGTGTATGTATTTATGTATGTACGTACACATCTACTACTGCCCATTAAATTGGTATTGTCTATTCATTTGATCTATAACTATCTCTATTTGTTCCATTACCCTAATCTTGCATTTCTAGAGGAGGTGCAAGATTCCCTTTAAAAACCTATGGAGTTGCCACCTCAGCATGGCAATCTCCCCATTTTGGCCCCAATAATTTACGAAGAAAACATGGCCTAATTCTTTGTATCCTTATCTACCCTCCTTTCAAAACTTGTTGGGGTTCCCTCCTTATGAGGTGGAACCCACTAATAAAGGTAGAGAAAAGAAAAGAAGAAAAAGACAAAAAGAAAGGAATGGAAAATAAAGAGACTTTTTTGTATTGGCTTGCAAGGCAAGCCAACACGTCCTTGGCTAACCAACGAATTGGAGAGAGCTCACTTGTACTCTCTACTCTCTCAATGCTGACAACTCTCTAGAAAAATCAAAGAATAGGAAAGGAGTTTAGAGAAGAAGGTTTTTGGGAAGAAGAAGAAGAGTTACAAGGGCTGAAACGAAGAAGACATATCCATTTTCAGCATCTCTTCTTGCTTCCATAGTTGTGCTTCCACCTTTGGTGAGTTCATGTTTGTTATCCACCTTAGATCGAGCAGCATCAGTCCTCCACGCCGCAAGTTTCAGCAACCTCCGCAGCCACAAGCGACGGTCGACCCTACCTAGTTCCAGGCGATGTAGTAGAGGGTCGACTAGATCTTGGCGATGATGCAAACTCTAGGGTCTGCGACGCAACCTCCTCAGGTCGTCCCTCCCCCTGTGCCATCGCCTAGTGTGGCTGATCCTTGCCTTGAGGACCTCAAAAGGTGTCGGGCAGACAGGGGAAAGGCGCGGTCTACCCAAGAAAGATAGACATCAGGAAGATTGAGCCCCTCAGCTTAGTTCCACGAGTGCGACAATCGCAGCTGAACGCACCAATATACCTGGATTCCAACGAAAGAAAGACTCGGTGAACGGATACAAGAACCACCAATATCCATCGTATAGTCCAGTTCTGTTAAAGACCGCTATGCATCGCCTAAGTGGGAAAGAGTCACCAGCTACGGCCCCCGACGACCGGGACGCCGAGATCAGAGAACTTCGACAACACATGACCTAGTTGAAGCACAACCAGGTGCAAAGAAGTGCGGCCCCTCCTATGATCCAACCTGTAGGGCCAACCAGCCAGCCTGCCAATGAGCCACCCTTCATATAGGATATCGTGGATGAGCTTCTCTTAGCCGGATGGCAAGCACCGTCATTTGAGAGATACGATGGAACCACAGACCCCGTTGACCACATTGCGGCCTTTAAAGCCCAAATGATGCTACACGACTCGTCCGAAGGGTTAATGTATAAATCTTTCGTGGCGACCCTCAAAGAAGTAGCCTTTACTTGGTATTCCTCTCTCCCCCCGTGCTCCTTCTCCACTTGGGCGCAACTGGAGAGCCAGTTTTTGGAATAGTTCACAGCAAGCCAAAAACATTGGAAGACTTCAGCAAGCCTCATGCAAGTGCGACAAAGGAAAGGGGAATCCCTCAGAGACTACATGGCGAGATTCAACATCGAGGCACTACAAGTCTGACACTTGAACTAGTCAGTGGCCATCATAGCCATTCAACACGTTCTGTGGCCTTCTTCGTTCAAGTTTTCCATTTCAAAGAACCCTCCTCAAACTATACCACGCTGATGAGTCACACCTAGAAATACATCAACGCGGAGGAAGCACATTCACAATTAAAAGATGAGGAAGAGCATCCCAATAAGAAGAGAAGGGATACCGAGGATCGCAAGACAGAGAGGGCGAACTGGGACCACAAGAAGCAGGATTGCCGATCCGACCACAGACTGAGGTCACCTCTACCGACCTATAGAAACATCACGCCGATGAATATGCCACAGTCTGAAGTCCTGATGCAGATCCGCGACCGTAGCTACGTCTAGTGGATCGAGAAGATGAAGACCCAAGGCAACAAGAGGAACCGTGACTAGTATTGTGAGTTCCATAGAGACTTGATCAGGTACAACCACATCGGGGACTTGATCAGGCGCGGGTACCTCGATGGATTCCTTAACAAAGACAAGAAGCCAGCACAGGAAGAACTGCACCCTGTAGCCAGACCACCACCTCGGGCTCCCCCAGCAAGTGTCATTGTCATGATATCAAGAGGGATCACCGTTGAAGGAGAAAGCAGCTCGGGCCACAAAAGGTATTTGCAACTACTCGAAATCGACAATAGAGGGTAGAAGAAAAGGTGCAAAGACCTGATCACCTTCACAGAAGACGACCTCCAGGGGGTCTAGACCTTGCATGATGATGCCCTAGTGATCACAACTGAGGTAGCCAACTTCGAAGTGCGGCACATCCTGGTTGACATAGGTAGCTCAGCGAACGTCCTCTTCAAAGACGCATTTGAAAAGCTTGGCATCGACAGAGACCGCCTTGTCCCCATCAACATCCCCCTAATGGGCTTCTCCGAGGAGTCACTTATGCCAACCGGGAGGATCACCCTCCCCCTTTTGATTAGAGATGGTGACATCACCGCCACGGCCATGGTTGACTTCATCGTCATCTGTTGCCCATTGTTGTACAAGGCCATACTCGGCCGACCAACCTTGAACGCTCTATGGTCCTCTATCTCCATGTTCCACCTCACAATGAAATTCCCGACCCAATACAATGTGGGAGTAGTGTGTGGAGACTAGAGGGATGAATGACAATGCTATTTGACCTCCTGCCAAGGACCACATCCTACCGTAGAAACAATGACGACCGAAAGTATAGATCTGTGAGACAACATGAAGGCACAACGCAACCAATCTACCGAAGACCTCATCCAGGTGTCGTTCTCTGAAGAAGACCCTGAAAAGATGATCCAGGTTGGCTCTCTCCTGGAATCTGCCGGGGATCGACCCCAAGGTCATCACCCACCTCTTGAATGCCGACCCACGCTATCGACCCATCAGGTAGAAGAAGAGAAGCTTCGCCGCAGAACGGTGGCAGGTTTTTAATGACGAAGTCCAAACGTTTCTTGGCGCCGGCTTTATCTGGGAAGTAAAGTACCCGGATTGGCTGGCCAATGTGGTAATGGTGAAGAAGACCAACGGGAAGTGGAGGATCTGCATTGACTCCACCGACCTAAATAAAGCTTGTCCAAAGGACAACTTCCCCTATCGAGGATCGACCAGCTCGTCGATGCGACGGAGAGGCACAGACACCTGAACTTTATGGATGCATTCCCGGGCTACTATCAGATATAAACGCACCTAGACGACTAGGAGAAGACCGCCTTCATCACCAACTGCAGACTGTACGGCTACAAGGTGATGCCATTCAACCTCAAGAACGTTGGCACCACTTATCAACAGCTGGTGAACGAGGTCTTCAAGGATCAACTTAGCCGGAGCATTGAGGCGTATGTTAACGACATGCTCATGAAAAGAAAGCAGGCCAAGCACCACCTAGCCGACATCATGGATGTCTTCGTCACCCTAAGAAAGTACATGATGAAGCTGAACCCGACCAAATGTGCCTTTGGAATTAGCTCCGACAAATTCCTGGGATTCATGGTCATGAAGAGAGGAATTAAAGCTAATCCAAAAATATTTGGAGCTAATTCCAAAGGCACATTTGGTCGGGTTCAGCTTCATCATGTACTTCCTCGACATGCAGTCATCTCAGACCCACAAAGAAGTGCAACGCCTCACTCGACGAGTAGTCGCCTTGAGCAGGTTCATGTCAAAGTCCATAGATCGATGCTTGCCCTTTTTCAAGGCCCTAAAACACGTAAAGGACTTCCAATGGCCCAAGGAATGTGAATGGTCCTTTCAGGAACTAAAGAGGTACCTAAGCTTGCTATCTCTCCTCACAAAACTGAGCCTACGGGATGAGCTATTGCTCTACCTCTCGGCTGGGGACGAGGTGGTCAGCTCAATACTGGTCAAGGAGGAAGATCGGGTACAAAGACCAATCTACTACACTAGTAAGGTTCTTAGTGAAGCAGAAACCTAGTACTCCAAATCAGAAAAGGTGGCCTTGGCACTAGTCACCTCTGTGAGAAATCTCAGACCAT